AGCAGGACCAGAAGGAAAAGCAAAAATGCAAGACAAGTTTAAAGGTGTTGAAGACAGTTTTGTTAATTTTCAATGCGAACAAAAATGGCCCAAAAAGCTAAATATTTCAAAAAGTATGATTTGCTGAAATACTAAAAGTCACAGCCAGAATGTCCTGAAGGAGCTGAACAKTTTTGATATATGAATTGATTGATTGAACTCATTCAGAGAACCTATTCAACTTCTTTTTGGACGATGAGCTGTTGAGGTAGGACATAATTGTGATTTGAGATACGTGCTGGAAAACGTATGAAAGAGATGTGGATCATCTCAATACTGTGAATGCTTGATAGCGACTAGATTAAGCTAAGTTATGTTTAAACTCAGTCAAACTTACACAACATGGCCAGATTAAAGATCATGCTTTCTTCCCCCTCCAGGAGCGTATTGTGTTGCAGACAGTTCGGTGGCGGATGCGGGTCGACATCGCCGTGGATCCAGACATGCCTCTGGGCTCTCGAGCATCACTGGTGGGCCGACCCTACCAGGAGCAGCCGCACATCCTCAACTACCAGGAGCCAATCCCCCCCAACGCACTCGGAAGGCCGAACGCCAACGACGCTCAAGTGCTGATGTGGAGGCCACGGAGAGGGGCACCGCTTGTGGTCATACCGCCAAAATAATAGTCTTTATATATAGGTGCTCCCTTCAGCAGGAAAAAAAAAGTTGTGAAGCCTGATGGTTTTCATGTGGCTCCTGTTACAAAAAGCCAAAGTGGAAGTGACATCCAGGATCTGAAACACCACGTCAATAAATAAATAAAGAAAACCACAAACCTACAACTGGCTGTCGTTAAGAACCTTGGAGGCATCGAGGATCAAGAAGTTCTGAACTGCCCGATGAGCTTTGCCTGCATTTTAGCAAAGAACATACAGTTTTTACACAAACTACAGAAGTATTCCCCTCCAAGAAGAACTGCATCCTGTGTCCTTCCGTAGACCTTTTTGCATGAGAATGAATAGACTGAAAGTCCTTGACAAAGATTAAGAGTATCACTTGTTTTATAAAACTTCTTACCTGAAGACATATTGACGAGGAAAAAATACTGCAGGCTTGTTTAACCTCGTCTGTGCCAACAAAGGCCTTTTCAGCACACCGGCACCGGTGGTAAAGGATGTAATCAGATCCTTTCATAGACACTATTATACAAGTCTTTTTTTAGGTTAAGATTAAACGCGTACATCAGATTGTATTAAAAGCACCCACTTGGCACAAAGTCTGGAAGAGGAAACAATATTGTTGCAGTTTTTACTGGAGTTTTGCCATAGACACCAAACTTATATTTTCAGCACACGGGCCTCTTGTGCAGCCAGTATTGTATTCAAATGGGTGACCAACCATCAGAGAGATGAGCTGGACCTCTTTCTGCATTAAATAAAACATGTCAGACAAGCTTACATTAAGCAGAGTGTAAATGGGTTGAAATGCTGCTGAACACGAAGAAACAGGAGGTGGATGATTAGGGCTCCAAACAATCACCAGCCAGGTCATGTTGCACAAAAACATTACAGAATTAAGAGATGAGGGACTGCAGAAGTAGTCCTGAAGGGAAAGTGTGGTCATTTATTAAGTGATTCAAATAGTTATCGATAGTTCCTTAACAGTCATAAACCACAGAAAAAGAAGAGAATGGCAGAAGCCCTTCTCCAGGCTAGGCTAATGGCTGGTCAAGCCTTCTTTCTATAGTTTTTTTTTAAGTTATTTATATTTTATAAACTTCATACAGGTGTGAAAGAACGCTACRTTAGCTGGAATCAAACCTCAACACTTTTCAATGGCATCATCTGTTTAGTTTGTAGCTGTGATGTTTGTATTTCTGGAGTTGAGGAAACTTTTGGACTGACGATAAACTAAGTGTCCCATTTTTCTTCTCACAAGTCACCCAGAAGCTGGTGTGTTTTATTTTTCACASTACACTTGTGATGTGATGTTTTAAGTCCTGCCTTTTCTTCTGCACACAAACATTGGGTTACATGACCTTTCTCATATGCATGAAATAACCAATAACTGCTAAACTGCTTAGATAAATCCATATTTGAACACAACGCACCAGGGTCGATAYCTAAAATCATTATCCAAGAGGTATTTAAAAAAAAAATTAAGGGCAAGATCCAGTACACTGTAGTGTCAGGACTTAAAGTGCTTGGCACATCAAACCTTTGCAATAAGGATAGGTGTGTCACAGGTACTTTAAAACTTGGAACCATCATGGCCAGTTCAGTTAAAAATACTAATGAAACAAACTGTGTCATGTTAAAGTGTGTTTTTTTTAATGTCATCTTTAACAGCTGTCTGACGTTTTTGCGAAAGAGTTATTTTATAAGCCTAAAACAACTAAATATAGCCTGGAGGAAGACTTCCTCTTTCATCACACTCTGTGATCTAAGATTGCTCACGAGGCACTAATGACTGATAACTTTAAAGGGATCCACGATTAGTTGTAACATTAGACTTTATTTGATAAACATATATTTTAACTGTAAAATAAAGACTGTTAAATACTGTAAGATGTTTAGTTTTGTCAAATTTTAAAAATATATTTTAACACGGACAGAGCCATTCTATTTACACACAATGTATTCAGGCAAATGATGACATGGATAGGTCATCAGTGTGAGCGAGCTATATCCACCCTGAAGGTTAATGTTGGACAATATATGATGATTACCTCTTTTAAATGAAACCAGAGAGCGTTGACAGAGAGGAGAAGGTGGAAATGACTCAGCCTGTAATTGAAAAAATAGATGGAGGACAACAGAGCTGCTTCATGGAAGAAGAACCTCAAAGCCTGTTAGACTTTGCGCTAGCGCCGATGCTATATTGCCTTATATGTATTAGCTCAGCGCTAGCGCGACAAACTAACAAACCAAACGGAGGTCCTCCGTCCATATTTTCAATTGCAGGCTGAGCCATTTTTGCGTTCCCCTCTGTCATGTAGATGGAGGACCTCAGTGACGAAAGGAGAATGTGTAGCACTGAGTTAATACATATATGGTGATAGCATCGGGGCTAATGCTAAAACTAACAGACTAAGCTGAGGTTCTTCTTCCATGAAGCAGCTCTGTTGTCCTCCATCTATATTTTCAATTACAGGCTGAGTCATTTCTACCTTCTCCTCTCTGTCATCGCTCTTTGGATTCATTGAAAAGAGCCGAACGTCAGATATTGTACAAGATTAACCTTCAGGGTGACTATAGATCGCTAGCAGCCTCACACCGAGGACCTATCCACGTCATCATTTACCCAGAATGCTTTGTGTGTAAATAAAATGGTCTGTGTAATACATTTTAAATTTTTGATTTAAAAATTATAAAAACTAAACAGCCTACAGTATTTTTAGTCGTTATTTTACAGTGAAAATATATGTTTAACAAATAAAGTCTATTGTTAAAACTAAACTTGGATCTTAAAACATCACTTGTTGAATGACCAGACTATCCCTTGAATGACCAGACTATCCCTTTAAGAGGTTGTTGGGTTTTTGGATGTTTTTGGACCCAGCAGTTCTGTGAGGTTCTTCTTGTCTTGCAGTCACTTTCCTGCTGATCAGTGAGAAGCGTTTCATGTCTCCTGGTTTCGGACTGACCCACGGTTCATTCTTGCTTTCAAACAGATCACAGGACTCTCCAGGTTCACGCCTCACCTTCCCGTGTCGCTCCTCTCTCTCTCTCTCTCTCTCTCTGCCTCACCGAACACACACCAAATCGCCCAGGTCTTCCCTGGAACCCACAACTATGCAAACAGCTATTAAATCCAACATAAACTCCTCTTTATTCTGCTTTTGTTGGTCAGGGTGCGTGCTGAATGAGGGCGATTGTAAACTCCTCAGAGGTTGAAGCAGGCCATGTTAATGCAGCGGGTCTGTCGCAGCACCTCAGCTCAGACATCTGTTGCTATAGAGACTGGTTTGGTTTTCCAGTGTGCACTGCAACTGGAGCTGAAAAAAAGTGCAAAATATTCATGGGTGTGCCTGGATCTTTGTGATAGGAGTGCACGCACACATAGATACATCAAAGCCTGTGTGTTTGTGTGCTTGTTTCTGCTACAGAGTGAGGACCACTTGCAAAATAGTTACCATCAAAGGGAGGACCTTTTCCTGGTCCTCGCTTTGTTTGCAGCTCTGCTGTGCTTTACCAGTTAGGTTTAGAGGTATGGTGTGAATTAAGTTCTGGTTCAGGTTAGGGTTAACTATAGACCAGTAATGGTTAATTTTAGGGAAAATAACTGGGTTACGCATAAATACAGTTACAAAAATGAATGAAAGTCAATACAAAGTCCTCAGTTTGATGCAAATACAAGGATGTGCGTGTGTGTGTATGTACGGGTTTTTCCTACGTGTGGACAATTTTCCTAAAAAAAAGCTGCCTCKTGGGAACCGAAGTGAATCATGGGGACCACTGCCAGGTCCCCACAGGTCCAAATGCAAATTACAGGTGTGGGGTTAGGTTTAGGACCAAGGTTTAGGTTAGTTTTAGGGTCAGGTAAGTTTCTGTGAGGTTAATTTTAGAGTATATGATCAGGGTTAGGCTATAAAGTCTAAAAAACATGAATGGAAGTCAATGGAAGGTCCCCACGGGGTCGAGAAACAAACATGTGTGTGCGTGTGTGTGTGTGTGTGTAGGTG